CTCCAAGCCCGAGCTCGAGTCCCAAGTCTACGAGGTCCTCCAATTTCTTGCTCAATTCCTCTTCAATGCTCTTGTTCTTTTATCATACACATGGTGTTCTGTTTTGGCACATATGAAAAATCTATGTCTATATGCTGAATGCGATTAGAATTTGCAGAAGAATCATGGGTTCTTAATTTCTTCTTCTTCTTCTATTTTTATATTTTAAAGTTTTCGTATTTTTGTTGGTTGCTGAATTGTTTTGATGAACACATTCTAGCACTTAGTTCATCACGATACTTTATTAAGCTTTGATTTCTCACTCAAATTCAATTGGTCTGTTTGGGAATTATATAATGGTGGTGGCCATTTTGCACTTTCCCTTACATGGACTCTGGAAAATCAGAGTCTTTATTTCCAAAAACTGTAGTAATTGTCATCTGTCTTGGTGGGGAGTCATTGTCACCTGTGTTGGTGAGAACGTGTTTCTGTCGCCCTGTTTTGTTTTTTCTTTTAATGTATGTATTGTGTGGGGTCTGCGGTGCATTACCAACATACTTGGTTTGAAAACTTTACTCATATTTGCTTTTGTTTTGTTGGTTTCGCTTCTAATTTTCTTTCTCCTATGGCGCATAAGGTTCATGCGCCATAGGAGTAATTAATGACCTGGAGTCATTAGGTTAACTGTGCTGTTTTTAGATGGTTAGTCTAAGATCTTAATCTACAAGCATGCTCCCATTTTTTAGTTAAAATTTAGCTAAAAACTCACAAAAGCTATTTTAGGAGCTCTCTATAAAATTTGAACTCTAATCTCATACTCCCTTGTTTAGGGAGTCATAAGTACTATAATTAATTTTTTAATTCAATATAAATTATCCATCTCTATAAAAATAAAAAATAAAAAATAAAAAGCATTAATTAAAGGGTTAAAATATTCACAAAACAAATCATCATTAAATTATAGGGAGCCACCAAGAGTCATTTCTTTCTCCTTAGATTTAGGAGTTCCTAGAGGTCTTCCTATTTTAGGAGGTGGATAGGGAGCATGGTTGGAGGTTCGGCCTCAATGGGAAAATAAAATGGAGCACCTAACAACGTATCTTCACAGACCGAGAACTAAATTTCTTCCTAAAATTTGTCTAAAGGAGGTGGTTTAGAGAGCTCATTGCGGATGCTCAAAGTACATAGGGAGTATCCACCGTTGGATGGGTGGATACTCCAATCAATCAATGCTTTTGAAGCCCATCCAACAATGGATAATGTCTATGTACTGAGTACATAGGTATACCCAAGAAAATTCGCAAAAAGATGCTACTTAACTTGGATGTGGTTGTGAGTTGTGACAGATGTGAAGAGCTCAGAACTTCAAATTTATTGCATAGAGAAAATGATGTCTCCATTTTCCATAAGATGCATCATGCATTCCCACCAATTGAAGGCAAGGGGTGAGGGGTTTATTATTGTTTTCGGTAATAACTCTTGTGAGTTGAGGGGTACTTTTCAAGTCTGTTTTGGTGTCATAAATATAGTATGTCATGAAATGTAGGATCCATTTAGGTTCTGAGATAAGCAAAATGATTTATTTTTCTTTTAATGGGAAAATGCTACATGTTATCAAAAAGTAAAGAATGATACTGCCATGAACAACTTGGGATATCTGCTGAAGTTTGGGTTTTAAGTTAAATTTGGGAGTCAACTTTGATTTTTTTATTCATGAGAAAATGTTAGTCACTATTGAGAAATTTATAGGTAAATAAATATGAGAGAAACAAATATGGCGTGGTATTTTGAGTATATAGTAGACTGCATACTTTTAAATCTGCAAATCCTTTGAACGGTTTGGATTGAAAAATCGTCACTCCCCATTTGCTAAACAAATGGAGAGCATCCTTTTCCAGCAACTATTTGTGGTTGTGGACGCAATGTTTTGGATTTACTACATTTATGAAATGTAAAATTGTTGAAGATACTTCTTATCTATCCAATACAGTCATCCAAACTTGTATAGGGCCTTGTCTAATAAGTTATTCTGTATGAAAACTCTACATGGATGTTTTATTTGTTATTGACCCCCAATATTGATATATATGGTTTTCAATTTAGATATCTATGTTAAAGAGCTCATGTAAGTTGGCACTCAAAGAGCTGAGAAATTGGATGAAGCCAGAAAAGGTATGTTTTTGTCAGAAACTCTATTTAATGCAAACTTTTGACTAGCATATTGTTTGTCTCTGCAGGCAATTTTTTTAAAGTTTGATTCAACATTTGCATTCCTTTTTCATTTTTTGTTATTATTAATTTTAATGAATAATATTTCCCTTTAACTGCAGGCTAAAACTTCACTAACCACTTTCCCTTCGTCAGCCGAAATAGTGTCTGAACCTCTTGGTGTTATACTAATAATTTCAGCATGGAATTATCCTTTCTGTACGTTAATATTAGACATGTGTTTTTATATTTAAGCACTGAGCTCACAAATCTTTACTCTTCAGTCCTAATTCTTTCTTCATACAAAAATAATTGTGTAATATCTGTTTTCCAGTGCTGTCCCTTGATCCAGTTGTCGGTGCCATAGCGGCTGGTAATGCTGTGGTCCTTAAACCATCAGAACTTGCTCCAGCTACATCGTCATTGCTTGCAAAACTAGTAGGTGAATATATGGATAGCTCTTCTATAAGAGTTGTTGAGGGGGCAGTTGCTGAAACATCTGCACTGTTAGATCAAAAGTGGGACAAAATATGTTACACAGGTTTGTATTCATTTTCATCTCTTTCCAGTCTGATATTTTGTTTTCCTCAATTTATAGTCTGATATTGCACGCGTGAAGATTTTGATGAGCTGAACTTTGTATAAATGACTATCACTGTTTTAGCTCTCCTTGCATATGATATAGATATAGATATATTAATATTTTGTAAAGATGAAAGAAAAATTCTCTTTGGATGTGAAGCAAGAGAGAGTGAATTTTTAGCTCAAGTTCAGAGGTATCTGTATTGCAGCTATAGCAAATGGCTTTAACAGGGGACCATAAGGTCCTTGCATAATCCATTAAGAGGGGGCTGCTTTGGCGCTCTGCTCTTCATCTGAGGTTGAGCTTTTACCTTTTTCAGTTCAAAGAGTTTCCAAAACAAAACATTAGATAATTTATAATTAAAAGTGGCCCTTTTTTGTGGTTTGCGAAAGTACAATATGGTGTCAAATAGATTGAGAGCATTTGTACTCTTTTTATTTTATTTTATTTATTATTATTATATTTAATAACAGATATCGGAATTTTGTTTGGCTATGAGCTTATGCCTAAACCTTCATAGATAAAATATTATTTGCTCTTCAATTGCTAGAATGACATCTCCACTGTGTTTCTCTAGAGAAGAAAATGTGAGGGATGATTGCAGTCTTCAATCTGAAGTTGACTTTTAGTGCCTTAGGCACTGAAATTGCACAGTATCGTTGTTTGTACTTCAAATAAAATATTTATTGAAAAACAAATATATTTGATTGTAGGCAATGGAAGAGTGGGACGTATAGTGATGGCTAGTGCTGCAAAGCACCTTACACCTGTTCTTCTGGAGCTTGGAGGAAAATCTCCTGTTGTTGTTGATTCTGGTATCAACTTACAAGTATGGAATTTCTCTGTCTTGCACACTATCAGTAGTTTTATTTATTTATTTTACTTGCTGCTACAAATGGTGCTGTAATTTCAGCTTCTGTCTTAAGTAGAGACTTCTGTATTTTGTTTTTCCTAGGTTGCAACTAGGCGAATAATTGTAGGAAAGTGGGGGTGTAATAATGGACAGGCTTGCATCTCCCCCGATTACATTGTAACAACAAAAGATTTTGCTCCTAAGCTGGTAAGGTTACCCTCATATGCCATTGAAGATCTGAATTTGTTTGTCTGCTCTTGTCATCTTCATTAATTTCTCTTGTTCTCAGGTGGATTCTTTGAAACGCGAATTAGAGAATTTTTATGGAAATAATCCATTAGAATCAAAAGATTTGTCTCGTATTGTGAATTCAAATCACTTTGCTCGGTTGACAAAGCTCTTGGATGAGGATAAGGTTTCTGGTAAGATCGTCCTGGGAGGTGAAAGGGACAAAACCAACTTGTAGGTTTTTCTTTCTCTGATTTTTCTCTTCTTAGATCTTTATCTGAAATATTAGGCACGATAATGTATCTTGCATGTGATTAATGCTCCTTTTTTTTGTGTTTATCGCAGGAGGATAGCTCCCACCATCTTGCTCGATGTCTCACGGGACTCTTTGATCATGAATGAGGAAATATTTGGTCCTTTGCTCCCCATTCTCACGGTAGGAACCAAAAATTTTGTCACTGTGATTTTTTTTCCCAACAAAAAGATTTTGCAATAAAATGTGAGATAGCCTTTCTTAATTGATTTAAATATGTATTGGGCAACTTCTCTACACACTGAACAAAAACTATAGAATCAGCTTCCTTGAATTGTAAACTAGTAACAGAAAACCAAGCATGGTGCTCTTTGGGGATGATTTCAAAGGGAAATGAAGTATAGGTACCTTCATCGTGTGCCAGAAAAGCAGCTACCTTAGAAGGCGTCAATCTGTTTTAGGAATCTTTTTGCTGGACTAATGGCACTGAGAAAGATGTTGTATTTTATTAGTGGGAACTTCTTGATTGGATTTCTCTGTCTTTATATTTATTGAAAACTACAGATCAAAGTCAAAATATCTTCTCTGTTGTTCATAACAGGTCGACAGAGTGGAAGAAAGTTTTGACTTGATAAACTCAGGAACAAAGCCCCTCGCTGCATATTTGTTTACAAACAATAAGAAGCTGAAGGAGCACTTTGTAAGGACTGTCTCCGCCGGGGGTTTGGTTGTCAATGACACTACCATACATGTAATAATTCTCCCTCCAACTTATTGAGACAAGCCACATGTTCATCCATGCATGCATGCCAAATAGGGCCATATAGATTTTATTGTGGTTATATGAATACTGAAACATGAGATTTTAGTAGTTATGCATTCCTAGTCTTGCCTCGTTTTTTTTCTTTTCTTTGTTTACTGATATCGTAGTTATTTATACAGGCATTACTGCATGTATCATGGCATCTCCATTTCTCACGTATAAATTTATTATATACATACTAGCTAATTTATTTCTTTATTGTGAATTAAGTTGAGAATCTAATTGGTATAATATGAATTCTCAATCGGTGTACAGCTTGCTGTTCCGTCCTTGCCATTTGGAGGAGTTGGGGAAAGTGGAATGGGTGCATACCATGGAAAATTCTCCTTTGATGCGTTTAGCCATAAGAAGGCAGTTGTTTATCGAGGTTTCGCTGGTGATGCTTCTGTGAGGTACCCACCATACACAAAGGGGAAGCTAAGACTTCTTAAGGCTCTGATCGGCGGTGGCATATTAAGCATAATCCGCGCTCTGTTTGGATGGTCCAAGGCGTAACAGACACTATGATCCGGTTGTGCTGCTTGCGATTCTTCTTTCTTCATATTTATAAAAGACATTACGATCTGGCTGTGGCAATATAATTACAATTTGAACAAGGTGTGATTATTTATGAGAAGGGAAAGGGGAAATGGAAAGTGTAAAAGTTGGTAGGTAAATATCTATAGGTTTATAAATTGTATGTGTTTGTATTTTGTTTTTGCTTGGAGGCTTAAACATGGGTTCCATTTTGCATCCATTGAATTCAATTCTGAAGCTAAACCTCTTAAATTCATAGACGCAAGGTTTGGTTAGCCATGGAAAAAATACAAGAGCCAGTCGATCTATCTGTTAAGCTTTCTACCTATCTTGAAGTATTGGGTTTCTATCTGTGCCATGAGAATAAAATCAATCTTTACAGACCAAAATCACTGATGACCAGTCAATAATAAGAATCCTCTAAAATATTGAGAATATCTGATCTTTGCTCATCTGTTAGAAAAGTAGGAAAGTCAACCAGAAAAGTGAGCTTCAAATTTGCCCTCTTTCCTTCATCTTTGGAGATTGCCATGCCTTGCTCTGATATGACCTTCTCATAGCCAGGATATATGATGTCATCAATGGTCAATTTCATTTGGTCTCCACCCAGCAAAGGGATTGAGATGATGCAGCCAGTGAGAGCCTTTACCAATGGGATCTCTAGAGCCAACTCCAAATCATCCCCTTCTCTTCTAAACAAAGGGTGTCTTTTCTCAGCAATCACAAAAACTATGTCTGCTGGGTAGGCACCTGGTATCTCATTTCCCAATCCTTCAAATGTAATCTTTGTTCCTTTTTTCCATCCTGGCTTCACATTTATTGTTACCACTTCCTCTTCTTCAACCATTTGCCTGCCATAAAGAATACATTACGACAATATTATGAAAAGATATGAGGGTACCCCCTACATTTACTAATCATATTGCTGATTACATTTTTGTAAAAATAATAGGTCTCACACTCTACAAGAGATGCGAAGTCTCGTACATGCATGAGAGAGATGTAGTCAACAATGCAAGTAAGCCCTAGTTTTATTCTATGTCAAGTGCAAGGTAACCAACCCGGTGTCTTTGACGATAGCCCTTGTGACCTTCATCTTCTTCTGGCATCCAAAACACAACTCCTCTAAGGTGCACTCAAGCTGCTTCTCAACGGCTGGGGGTTTCAACATCCCAGACGAGTTGGAAAACATGATGGGGGTCTTCCGGCTTTCACATTTCGAGAGGGAGGGATGGGCAGGCGTGGAGTCGGCGCTTTTAGTGCATGTGGCGGCCTTGGGGGTTGACGGGGAGGGTATGGAATCCGGCCAGCTTTTCCGGCTCTTAGGTTTCTTGAGAGAGGGTGAGGGGGTGTGACTCCTTCGGCTAGAGCTTTTTGAGAAATGATGACAATGCATGTTAAAGAAATTATCCAAGCTTGATTGCTTGAAGTGACCTTTAGCTTTAGGGCTTGGAGTATCATGCTCGCGTCGCATTCTTTGCAGGCTAATGCATCTAAAGCTATGAAATCCATGCATGGTTTTCTTTTCTGCTTTTGGTGTATCATCACCGACTTCCTGTATATATACATATATTTATATATAAGGACACAATATTATGAGTTGAGGACACATTAATCAATCTCCATGCATGCATGCAACTAGGTAAATTGGCACATGGATGGAAACTTATTGCTTATTTATAAATAATGAGACATAGATGAATACGCATATAAATTATCAAGGTTTCTGAGGAATTCAAATGCATGGTTAGAAATTTTTATATAACAGAAATGTTGTTCCTCATGTTATGTTGTTACTCTGTTAATCCATACAGTATATTCATCAGAAATGTATTCTTATTTGAATGTACGGATCCAATTAATTGACAATATTAGAATGATGACACAAATGTTTACCTCAAAGATTACATCGTTGGTTATAGAGGTTCCAATTTGGTCTACTTTGGCTTCCCGATCTGGAGATGATTTCTTCTTGTCGTGGCGCAATTTTTTGACAATGGATCTATATGCTGCTCTATAGAGGTTGCGAAGAGGGCGCATGGGTAAAATCCACGCACCATCCACAGATTGGAAGAAGAAGAAGAAGAAGAAGAACAAAAAGAAGGAAGAAAGAAAGAAGTTAAAAGAATGGTTCTATCCACAAGAATGCGTGTTTTACCAAATATGATGAAACTAGCAGCGTTTTGTAAGGCCCTTCTTTGATAATGAGCACAATCAGCTAATCGACAGGACAAAATAATTCTCTACAACTGTTATATATGTAAAACCGGTCTCTTACGTTCTCTCACGTGTCTCATGTAACTCGTACTTCTCACGTGTTAATCACCTAACTACTTATTGAAGATAAAGATCACGTCTCACTTCTCACGTGCTAGTCACGTAAATACTTATTGTGAGATACCGGTTGCACAAATCGGTTGCGGAGAAGAATTTTTCTAAAAGGACAGATAAATGCAAGAAATCTGTTCTTATTTTCGATGTTGTATATGGTCTTCAAGGGTGGAGATGGTTGTAATGTGTTGTGAATGTGCGTCTTCAAAACAATATTCTAGTCAACCTTTATCAATGAATGAGTGAACATAAGATGGGTAAGTTTGACAACTGCTTTAGGGACAAACAGAATTTTGTTTTTTAATTGAAAGGGACAAACTTATATTTAAGAAACAGTCTTGTAACTGTATCGCAATACATGATACATCTCTACAGATGTTTTTTGTTGTTGTCAAACTTCTGCAGATGTTTAAAACCAAGGTTAGTTACCGCTGAAAATGCTTATAAAATAATAAGTTAATAGGACGTTAATTATTTGTTTAGGGCTGATTTTTGGATGGATCAGATCGGAGTTAGGGAATTTCAATTTCAATTCAAAAAATTTTGAAATTTCAATATTCATTCCAATTCCGAAAACTCGGATTTTTTTGGAAAATTTCAAAAACTAGTTCAAAATTTTAAACATGCCCAATCATTTAAATAGTTAAAATGGACTCAATATTTAAAATTCATATCGAACGCTTGAAATCTATTATATTCTAGTGCTTGGATGTTGTTATCCTTTATCGAATAACTTGTCTATTCGGTCATTAAATTATATTTAGTCCAACATGAAATTAATAATTGTATGTACTCTAAGCTTGAAATTCCAATATATTTTGAAATTTGAAATTTTTCGGAATCCTGAGATACATTTCAATTCCAATTCAACTCTTTTTTGGAATTTTCAAATTTCAGAACTTTTAGATGTCATAATTGATTTGGACTTGCCAAAATTGGAAATTTTCGTGACTCCAAAGCCAGTTAGCTCCCAAAAGGCCTCGTGCTAGATGGAGGTGGGCATGTACATATAAGGCACATCACCCTCTCTCCGATGGTCTGTGTGGGATGTTACAATCCACCCTCTTTCGTCGGCACACTCGCACCACACGGCAGAGTGACTATGATACCAAATTGTCACATTCCGGGATTGACTCCGCCGTAGCACGATATTGTTCGCTTTAGGCGCACTACACGACAGAGTGGCACTGATACCAAATTGTCACATTCCGGGATCAGCTCCGTCATAGCACGATATTATCCATTTTGGGCCCCCTTCTCTGCCCTCAGGGTTTTGTTTATGGGAACTCACGAGTACCTTCCCAATGGGTCACTCATCCTGAGATTGCTCTAGCCCTAACTCGCTTAACTTCGGAATTCTCATGACTCCGAAGCTAGTGAGCTCTCAAAAGGCATCGTGCTAGATAGAGGTGAGCGTGTACATATAAGGCACATCACCCCATCTCCGTTGGTCGATGTGGGATGTTACATTCATAATATATTTTATGATTCGAATCACTATTTATCTTTTAGTTTCTCACTAAAAAGATCAATACTGCAAAATTTTACTCAAACAGAAAATTGTTCAATGATTTAAGTATGACTAAATAAATAGATGAACATAGTGTGAAATAAACCTAAACGAATAGTTATATTAACTTACTAATGGGTTGTGTTTGAAAGCTATTAGAAATCATGGGACACAATTGAAAGCTGGATCCGAGTCTTTGTATTTTGACTCCATGCATCCTTAAAACCAATTGGCAATCAGGTAGTAGCCCAACTCTTTATAAACTCAGGTTAGATTCCTTAACTTTTCAATGTGGGATAAATACTCTCAACACGCCCCCGCACGTGTGGCCAACTTTTAAGCTTAACACGTGAACAACACATACTGGGTGACGTGGGAGCATATGTGGACGTTGGGCCCAACACGTGAAGCCTTGCTTTAATACCATGAAGGAAGTTGAGGTTTCACCCCAAAACCAATTCACAATGGAGGAAGTAGCCCAACTTCTTATAAGCCCTTGCAAGGTTTTCTAACTCTCTAATGTGTGACTTTTTACCTTCATATTCTCATATTGAGAAGAGGCAGGCGAGGGGAAGGGGGAGAGAGACAGAGATAACAACAAGGATACTGTTAGTTTAGAAAAATAAAGGATAATAAAAATTAAATTGTCTACTAATTTACATGTTATTTTTAAGACGTTAGATTATTTTAATGGTTGAGATTAGGCAAAATGAGGCAAAATGCAAATAAATGCGTGAAGTCTAAAGAAAGAGACTCAAAAGGCTATTCTAATAATATATTTTCATATACAAAATAAATAATAGGCAAAAAAATTCACTTTTGGTATGAGTTATCACTTTTAGCATTAAGAGCTCTCCCATCCCTATGAGTAAGGGCAATGCAATGGCTGTCACTATTCACATGAATGGTGGTAGCCCTCACAATTTTGTTTCCACCCTTAGGCAAGGGCAATGACAATTATTATTCACTTTAATTTATTTTCTATTTTTTATGCTTAAATTTTCAAAATTAATTTTATTATTTAAACTTTATAGAAAAAAAAATTGTTTCCCTGAATTTTTGGGTAATTATTTTAGATTATTTTTCATCAATTTTTATTACATAAAAATTGGCAGTCGTTGGATTGCAGTGGAAAATTTGATCGGACGCCCCAGGCTGGGCTAAGCCCAACGGGCCGGGCCGAAACGGGCCTACTTCATTCGAAAAAAATCATAAACTTAATCATAAGGGCATTTTAGTCTAAATTTGAGATTAAACTCACTTAATTCCAATATTTTCACATCAAACCAAATTCATAAAATACTCAATAAAGTCACACAACTTAATAAGATTTTCCACAAAAATAATAAAACAAAGTATTATTTTTGAGGTTATTACATAATTAGACCATAATACGTTTTAAGAAATAATTTAAAAAAATAATAAGTATCAAAAAGATATTTTTTTTAAAGGATGGTATAAATAAATATGTAAATGTTTGGTGATGTGTTCAAGAAAAACATGATTATATTTGGTGGTAGTAGTACGATTATGTTTCGTGATATGATTATGTTTAGTGATATGATATATTGTTCATCTTATTTATATATATATATATATATATAATTGTTGTATTAATAATTGACACAAATTAATGTGCTAATCATCCAATTATAAACTAGGAATGAGTAAAGAAAAGTAAATGAAATGAAACAAATTATATATGTGATTTAAGTGATATAATCCTAATCCTAAACTCTTATTTATACATAATTATATATATATGCGGGCCTAACGGGCCGGGCTTTTGTGGGTGGGCCGGGCCGGGCTTTCTTGGGCTTAATCGGGCCGGGCTTCAGACACCCAAGCCCAAGCCTAGCCCGGCCCAAGGCGGGCCGGGCCATCTCAAAGCCCATAACGAGCCGAGCCGGGCTTTTTTCCAATGAGCCGGGTGGGCCCCCATCGGCCCATGAGCCCGCGGGCCAAATGATGAGGCCTACCCAGGTGTTGCCACATGTCTTGTAGCAGTGGAAAACAAATTTGAAAAGCACGCTGATGCCAGGCTGGAGTCAACACGACGGTAACAAACTTAAGCAATAGCACGGGCTGGATTTGCCCAGATTGGTGGCTCCCACGTCTTGCCCGGGCTGCTTTGTGCGTACTGGAGTCATATTGTGAGTCTAGGGCCCCTCCCTGCCTGGGCCAAACTGCTGCAGTGGACGTGCTCTAAGGAATTTGTAGTTTCAACGTGGTCATTTTTGACTTTATAATTTCGATTTGAAGCAATTTAAGTTCAATCTTCGATTTTTGTTAATTTTCTTAACTTCCGTTTTTTTGTAGAAGGGCAATCCGGTCTACTAATTATTAAAAAATTCATTCCTTCTAAAAGTAATCAATACAAATATAAATACACAACTTTTTGAAAAATAAAGCCTCTGTCTCCCCTTCTCCTCCCAACCCCGGCCAGCCATCACCTCCCTGTAAGTTGTAACCCAACCACCGCCGCAGCCACCCAAGCCCAAACAACCAAATCGCCTCCTGGGGCAACTTTGACTTATCGTGTGCTAATGGCTTGGCACAAGGGTTCTAGGAGAGAATGAGAATACTAAGTTGGGCCCATTCATCCTACTCGTATTCTCGTCGGAATTGCAAGCATCTCAACTTAATTCTTCAGTTCCAATTTTGTGCACTCTTCTCCGTCATTTTGTCTCTCACGAAACCAGCTGAGGAGGTAAAGCTACTCTCTTTCTCATTCTCCATTGCTGATTGAGCTGTTTCTCTTCTTCTCAATTTTTATTTTGTTTGATTTTATGATGAAAGATGTGGGTAGCTTTGGTTTTTTCTGACTTGGGTCTTCTATTATGGACGTGGGTTACCCATAAATTTTTCATGATTTCGAATTTGGTTTGATTTTGGCATCTCGTTGTTTTTTCAGTTTTGGGTTGGATCAGTTTTAGATTCGCATATTAAACGATTGCTTCAACATTGTTATTAGCAAATTTTAGTTCTAAATTCAGAGGGCATGTCTATGTATCGTTTGCGGTTGTTGTTACCAAACTCCCCCTAAGAGTCCATTTGAACCTTTTGTTAGGGGTTAATTTCAATTTAGGCTTTTAAACATAGCATTTATAGGGTTTTAATTGATTTTTGAATTGGACTCGTTGTTTTATTTCAGATTTCAGCCTTTTGGTTTTCCTCTTGTTGTTAGCTTTAAATAATACTAGTGATTAACAGGTTGTGTAACTGTGGGAGTTTTTGTATCTTTGCTTATTAGCTTCAATTATCATGAATATATTTGTTCGATTGTTTGCTGAGAAAAAAGTACGGACATTGGACAAAATTGTGTGCTTTTATTACCCATTTTAATGCAATTTTCTTCTGCTTCGTAGTGACAGAGAAATTAAGTCCCAATGGATCTCACTCCGTTTAAGCGTGACATTGATGAGCTTATAGATGCATTTGCTGAGGTAGAATTGGGTTTGTTTTTATTTTCCTGTTTACCATCTTCTTTGTGGGTTATCTGCAAATGGTTACATGGAGGTTATTTTTGGGTTTTGGTCTTTGATGTTTCTTGGCGCATGTGGATTTTGGGTATTGACAGGGTGAATCAACGAGTTTGGCTGACATGAAGAGAATATGGCTTTCCAAAAAGTTCTCTTACATTTACGAGGCACGTCCTTCTACCAACTTGGCCTTCTTTATGCAGTCATTATATGCCCATTCAATTGGTAGGCTCTTGCACGTTTGACTCGGGTTACTACTTGATTAAACTAGGCAAGTACTTTAGTTTTGCTGCTGGGATGCTGCCAATGCAAGATTTTCACTTCGGTTAATAGTTGTTCTGGTGACTAGAGCTGTGCTGTTAATCATGGCGTGTGTAAACTGTAAATAAATCTGGAGATAGAACCTCAAAATTGACGAAATACTTAAGCTTGGAGTTGGCAACCTAGGGTGACCAAATGAGACATTTAACTTGTGAAAGAAAACTATTAAGTAGTTGGTTTTTCATTTTTGTTTTCCAATGTAAAAGTTCTTATCTTAAGTAATGGTGATGTTTTCAGTGCACTACATTGGGTCACTTGCCTATCTCTTCCACTTGGTTTTTGGAAAAGTCTTAACAACTACCTGATTCGTCGTATGTCATGCTTAATATCATCAAACATTCAAGATGGGGGTTTCCATTACTTTTTTTTAATTGCTCAGTGCTTGAGACTAACTTTCATATGCTTATGTGCAGGATACATAATCGGTACAGCTACTTTATCACACAGACTGGGTGGGCTCTATTGCCTCTTCTGTCTCTATGAGACTCAACCATTCAAACCTCCTTTTAAGATTTATCTATCTCTTGGTATGTATGTAGATTTTACTTTGAACAATTGAGCTTGATTTAAAATTAACTTTATCTTGAGTCTGGTTTATTTCAATGAAATGGCACTACACAGCATTAAGTCAATACGTGGAAACAGAGATAAGATATGCATTATTTGTGCGAGCATGTGTCCTTATGCCTTGTACTGACAATAGATGATGTACACTCTGGGTGTCTTTGTGTATTACTCCTTAACTAATATTAGTCTGAGTGTCTTTGTGTATTACATGGATATCTGTGTGTATTTTCTGAGGGAAACCTAAAATTGAACTTCTTATCAATTTCTGAACACAAGCTTTATCAAATCAAATATCAAGTATTGAGCCCAAACAAGATGCTGATATGGAGTTCCTATTTGGCACTTGATATTTGTAATTTTCTCAAATAAGGCTTTTATGATGGCTGCTCTCCTGGTACCATATTTCTTTGTTTTTCATGCTTAGTGCATTTCTATTCTACAATTGACAGAAGAACTGAAGAAACTTCGAAAGCTGGTTATTGATGCAAAGGAACACGATTTAAGAGTGGTATCTGCTTTGGTGAAAAGGATGCTAGAAAAGAATGTTTTCCTGTTTGGGTCTGTAGACACAAATGAAGGCTCTTTTACAGAGACGGTAGACCAACTGACACAGTTACAGAATGCTCGAGTTCAAGTTGCATACAAGGAGTATGTACAAACACATGTTTTTTCTCTAATTGTTGCTTTAACATAGAGGTTTTGTGATAATTGTAAATCCCTCTAAACTTTCTTACTGATTCTTTGATTTCCTTTTGACTAATTAGGTTATTTGCTAATACTAAGATTGAGGACTTTCTCCACATGGATTTGGTAAGTTAAAGTAGTCCTCGAACTTTTGTCCTGTTGTTTGCTTGTTGATAGAATGATTATATCTTTTCAAGTTAGCTTTTGGTGTCTAATATAGTAATATCCATTCTTGTTCTCACGTATACCAGGGAATGGAAGTTGACCTGAATATGCTCAAGAAAATGTCAACAGATTATGCAGAGGCCAAGAAAATAGCAATTAATGGTACATTTTCCCCTAATTCACAGTTATTAATAATTTTCTCAAGCCTCCCCACTCCATTTGTTTCACTATTGCTGCCTGTAATATGATTTCAGCAACCTTTTTTCTCAAATAATTATCGAATGCTAGTTTCCCACTTGTTTTTTTTTTTTTTTGGCATTATTGTAGTTGTTAGTTTTCAACTATCTAATCATTTCTTTATTTTCCCTCTTTCAAATTGAATTCTTGTTAAAGAGGCCAGCAAGGTCGTGGATGTTCAAGATATAAAGCACATATCAGAAGATAAGGAACTGGTTGGAGATGCAGTAGAGAAGATGGTAGGGCAGTGGGATGCTCAAAGAGAAGTGTTTTATCAACAAACAGGAGCAAATCAGAAGCTCCCTGAAGGAGAGCAGCAACTAGAACCACAGCAGCTGCAGCTGCAGCTGCTGAGTGATGAGGAGAACTTTGATCAGGAATTGGAACAACTGCTATCTGAAACATGATCATACAAGCAGTTGAAAAACAAGGCTTCATTGTCCTCTATGGATGATATACTAGGGATCCGGCAGAAGGCAAAGTTGATGGCTGGATTTTTTCTGAAGTTGTTATGACTTTTAGTTTGATACTAAGGCCTCAACTTGCTAAAGAAGGTGATGGAATCCAGCGGCTGCTTTTTTTTAGGTGTTTCATGAATCAGTGCTATCTATGTTGAATTTTGTACATGTTAGAGTGTTTGGTTGCAAAGTTATGAACAATGGCTCTAGTGATCTCATTTGATACATTTTCCCTTCAATTGGATTGCCCAAGGGAAAATGTACAGAAAATGAGAATTCAATGCACATATTAGCTTTGACCAAGAATCTGACTTTCCATGATGACGTGTTGGCTTTGCACCACCTTTCCTTATTCCAATATAGATAAAAGCAAGAGTTTGTATTTAAAGTGTTTAAGAGCATTTACTCTTGTAATCGAGGTCCTACGTTTAATTTTCCTCTCCCCGATACCCCTTGTATAAAAAGTAATATATATAGATAAAAGGGTTAATTGGTGATTTGCCTCCTTAATTTGTACCTAACTTTCGATTTACTCCTATCTTTTTAATTTTTTATTATTATTATAGAAAATTAAGGATATGAACTTTTTGTGTGTGGCCAATTTCCCCCTTGCCGTCTAAATCTATAACATTTCATCCAATTTGCTGTTAAATATGATGGCAAAATGGTCATTTTGTATGTTAAAAATAAATAAAAACAAGCAAGCTGGGTTCTGTGGGTGGGGGGGCAGAGCAGGGATCTGTTGTTGCCAGCGGGGAGGAGGGGAGGGTTTAGGGTTGGGTGGTCATAGGGGAATGGGAGGAGGAAGGGAGGAGATGGAAAGGGAAGGAGGGCTAGGTTCTTCGGGTTGGGGGGAGGAAGGGGTTGACACTAGGTTTACTCTTTTTCTTCAATTTTTTCTAAAAATAATAATTTTTAAAAATGATTTAACTGAAATTGGAGAAAATGTTGAGGATTTAGACGGTATGGGGAAATTGGCGAAAAAAAGAAGTTCATATCTTTAATTTTCTAAATAAAAAAAGAATAGAGGGTGAATTGAAAGCTAGGTACAAATTTAGGGGGCAAATCACCATTTAACCCTAGATAAAATGTTCTCTTCTTTTTGCAAATGGGTGCTACCAAAAATTTGACTTTCCATTAAACACTCTTTTTGAATTGGTCTTTACCTAGATTACAAATTGCCTACTGACATATACATGCCATGAACGATAAGGGTTCAAGTAGCACCCTATTTTGGAAAGCCAAAATGGATAGGAGCCTTTCTACTTATCTTTGGCATGGCATATGCACATAGCTTTTTATAGCATCAATTCAACCCACACCACAACATCTAATTGGAAATTTGGTGCGTAGACAAAGACAACCAAAGTTTGTCCCTTTCATTGCTTACTTTATATTATCATTTGAGATTTGATACATAACACCTTCAGGCTAACCTAAAACAAGTCATCTTTAAGAACTATAAAGCAAAAGAATGCATTGAAGGAAAGGAAAATCTAAACACCTTACAATAAAGCAGTCAAACCAACCCAAAAGGACTCTTTCAAGTCTCAACTTTTGTTATTTTCACTTTCAACCACATTCACAAAATGTGAAAACCCAAATCCAAGTGGGACCCATTTATCTCCTTCCAAATTTCCAATAACTAATTTGCCCTTCCGAATACCAGAATTCAAGTCAACATCTGATGGTAGTCTGGACATTTCTCAACATCTTACCTCGACAAGCATTCCGCGGTTTCGACGCGGGTCTTTTGCACTCTCTCTCTCTCTCTCTCCCGCTGTGAAACTTCCAATATCCAATTTCCAACGCTGACACGCCAGTAGGACCTGTACTGAGTTGAATCCCAGAGTTTACTACCTTTTTTTATTCTTTTTCTTTTTTTAAAAATTTTCGATTTTCAGCAGACTACAAAGCTTTGAACCCTTCTTGGGATTTTGATCCAACCGAGTCGTCTAAAGGAGAAAGAGGTTCTCTGCCACTCACAGATTCAGATGGGTGGTGATAAAAGGAACAGAGTATTTGCATTGACGGCCTTGCTCCTTCTGGGTTTGTCTGTAACCTTCCCATGTTGTTTCTCGGCAGCCAATCAGCCCCAGACCAAGAAAAAATCGGCCCAAGCGAATAAATTTGGTTCTTCAGCTGTTTTTCCTCTTCATGGAAATGTGTATCCTCTTGGGTATGATTTTTCGCACCTCTTTCGTTTTGGGGTTTGAAGTTTTGTTCCTTTCAATTTTTTATTTATTGCATTATCAAGTATTCTTGTTGTATTGTTTTGTTTTTCTTTCTTGAATTTCTCTGATTGGTTGTTGAGGGTGTGATTATGGGTTCCTGGACTTGGTTTCGGGTTAAAGCTTTAATCTTTCATATATTCACTAAACATGTTATTAGAGTTGGAAATCTATTGAAGTTTCTTGACCCACCTTTTCATTTTTAACAACTGCTCAGTTTTGTTGACTCTGCCTTGTATTTTTTTTTAGTACTCTGCTTGTACTTTGAATACCCTTTTCCAGTTTCTGATTTTTCTTTTTTTATTGCCTGAACTTTTTCTTAGACCTCTTACTCTCTTCTGGAAGCTTTGTATCTAATAGCATACTCAAAAATTTTAATCTTTCACTGTATAAAAAGTGAAAAGCTGTCGGTCCGATCCCTTTTTTCATTTTCTTTTCTTTAGGTAACTCATTTCCCTTCATAGTTTAGTTATATTCCTGCACTACATATGAGCTACGCATATGCCTGCCAGAATTACAATTTTAGTATGTTTATTGTTTTCCACTTGTTGCATGATTATTTTTTTATGAATTCGAAGCTTCTATTTTCTTGTCCATTAAATTTAATGCTTTTAAAATACTTTTTTTTGTGATGTTATGAATTGGTGTTCTGTTCTGGCTTTTCTTTTTGCCTCCATTTTTATATTTTTCTTCTTTCTTTTTTTCAGTATGTGGTGAATGACCTCAAGATTTGATTGTATTTTCACTCCGCAGGTACTACTCTGTGTCCATCAACGTAGGCTACCCAGCCAAGCGCTTCGACCTCGATATTGACACTGGCAGTGACCTCACTTGGGTTCAATGTGATGCTCCTTGTACCGGTTGTACCAGGGTAAAACTTTTATGGATATTGAGACTGTGAGACTAACATTCTAATGACCATGTTCTCAACTTGGTTTTTCTGTCTCTGTTTGTGCATTTGCAGCCCCGCGAATATCTTTATAAACCCAAAAACAACCATTTGCAATGTGGAGACCCTCTTTGTGTTGCCTTCCACTCACCAGCAAGCGACCCATGCAAGACCCCAGATGATCAATGCGACTATGAGGTTGAATATGCTGATCAAGGATCATCTCTTGGTGTGATGGTCAACGATTACTTCCCCCTGAAGTTCACCAACGGCTCTCAACTTGGTCCTCGTTTGGCCTTTGGGTGGGTATTCAGTGTTTTCTTTTTGCACATCAGTTGGCAGCATTTCAGAATTTTTATACTGATCATGTTATTTTTTTATATTTGAAATCTTGAGGTTTTGTTAGTTTTGTAAGCTTTCCCATTTTTAAACTTCAGGTCGTTTCGTTTAGGAATGTACAAATAAATCAAACTTAAGTTAATGCCTTGCAACTAAAGTGCCAGCGCTTTCTATTTCTGAGTTAAGTTCTTATAATGTTTCTCTTCCTGTTGTCTGCAGGTGTGGATATGATCAAAAATATCCTGGTCCAAACACACCTCCCACCACAGGAGTCATGGGCCTTGGCAATGGCAAAGCCAGCATTGTGTCACAACTAAGTCGCATGGGTTTAACGCGTAATGTGGTGGGTCACTGTCTAAGTGGGCAAGGAGGAGGATTTCTTTTTTTGGGGGATGATCTTGTCCCTTCTTCTGGAGTCATGTGGACACCAATGTCACGCAATTCCATGGTGTGAGTAGTCATAATTTATCCTATTTACCTTCTCATATAGCATTAAGTGTTCTTAAATGATCTCATACCATTATTTCTAATTCGCGTGTAATGCATCTTTGCCAATTTCATAGAAATCACTACTCCTCTGGACCAGCAGAACTTGTATTCAATGGAAAGTCTACCGGTGTTAAGGGGCTTTCTCTGGTTTTTGACAGTGGGAGCTCCTACACTTATTTCAATTCCCAAGCTTACAAGGCGGTAGTTAATCTGGTGAGAAAGAAACAAAGGAGACCATTCTTCCTTTTGTTAATTGTTAATAACTTAAATGGAAAACTAACCATCATTTCGTGTGATCAGGTAAGAAATGATTTAGATGGAAAGCCAATAAAGGAAACAAGTGAGGACAAATCCCTTCCAATCTGCTGGAAAGGCCGCAAGCCTTTCAAATCTGTTGGTGACGCGAAGAACTTTTTCAAGCCCTTAGCACTGAGCTTCATTAATGCCAAGAATGTTCAGCTGCAATTATCACCCGAAGATTATCTTATAGTTTCGGTGAGCACCCCAACTGTCTTTCCATTTATTTTAACTTTATCCCAGCTACCATTAGTTAAGAGAAGAAAACACTGGAAAAACCCATATCTAATTTTTTCTTTGTTGCCAGAAACATGGCAATGTGTGCTTGGGGATTTTGAATGGCTCTGAAGTAGGACTGGGGAATTTGAATATCATCGGAGGTAGCGAATACTAACAGAACCAATACCTTCTGGCCCTTTTTTTGGTCCTGTGAGCAAAATCTGATCTATTATTCTCTCTGCAGACATTATGTTGCTAGATAAAATGCTGATATATGACAATGAAAACCAGCGAATTGGATGGGCACCTGCAAATTGCAATAGACTTCCCAAGTCCTGATCCGTTCTCTCATAATTTCCTTCTCTTTGATGTAAATGGTGAGGGTTTTCTTATCAGAGAACTCTTTTTTTCAGTGTGGATCGTGAATGCTCGGAAGGTAATTCTCAGCCTATTGTAGCCAATTTGGGTATCTTGGAACAGCATTGTCCTGCTTATGCATTGTATGATCAATAAGGCGGTATACAGAGAAGGCTTCAAGACCAAAGACCAAAATATATAAATATATATGTAGCAGATACATACAACATTTTGGTCACAGGAGTTTTACAATAGTTCTTTTGTCTACTACTCTAGCAGAGAGAAGAAAAAAGAAGTTAGTTCTAGTTGTCTTTTGTGAACTTACAAAGTGGGAAATGTAAGCGGGTATATTACGTGATAATACATGCGTTTAGATAAATTCATGTATAGCAATATCTCTGATCTGAACCATCTCTGCAGCTAACTAGTCGCATGAATTTTCAAGTTGCAAGAAAATTGCATCTCCTCAACGATCGTTTCCTAAGCTCTTCCTTGATTTGTGCCTGGAAGCCGATAATTGGAGACATAAATCAATCCGGTTTCTGTTCCCATTCTGTACAAAATTGATTACACCTGCAAACTACCTGCAAGAAGTGCAGAGTATGATTCATCAGTACCGTTACAAGTTCAAGAAGTGCACACTAACCAATAAAGAACATCACACTAATTATCCATTTACATGCTATCAATGAGCACAAACTCAACTTGGTATCCACGGCGGATGAAATATTTTCACCTCTTAAAATGATAAGATGCACTGCACCATTTACAGTTACAAGTGCCGTCTCAAATATAATTCATAATAGAAAATGGGCAATACGAGCAATATAGCAATTCCCATTTGCTAATGAAAACGAACCATATAAAAAACGGACCTGAAATATCTAAATCCGTGCGTCAATAGATTCTGTATGATGTTTGAGCTCAGCGTGCTAAAAGACACGATTCGCGCACTGCTTATTATAAGATATATTATCAGTAAAAATTAAGGATTAGAAGGAATCCCAAAACATTGTCAGCCAAAACAGAAGAAAACCAGGTCAACATCAAACTAGTTTGCAAAGAAACAGATGTAATAACTGAACAAGATAGCAAACATGAGTAGAAAAAACCATGTGTGAGTGAAAATAAAAAAGCAGCAAAATTGTTGATCAACTTAACGCAGCAAACGGAGAATCACCTTTGCATGGCAAATCTTCGTTATAGCCTCAACATGAAGGTTCTGCAATTCTTCAAGAGCTGTAACATCCAGGCCAGCAACATCTTCACCCTGAAAATTAATAATATTTTAAAACACTTTTTGATCCATATTTCAATTATAGCGCTCAATTGAGGACTTTATGATGTAAATGAGACTATGTCTAGCATAGAGCTGTTATTCATTCAAAAGATCAGCTTCAAATATTAACAGCTCCTGATGTATAATAACATGTGTCATAGTATTATTCCATTCATGTTCAGGGAGGAAGGGAAGGGTGGAGATAAATGGATGACCAATTGCCATTGACAGTCAATAAGATTTTTTAAACCACAGTGGGACACGTCGCAGATAACCAACCGGATCATTCATGGAACTGGGGTAAACTGCAGATGGCTATCTGTAATTTCCCAAAAGATAAATCACTAAAGTACATACCTTCAGTCTAGAAATATAGCATTCTAGCTCTTTGCATTTTCTCCTTTCTTTCTGATAGCTGGCTCTTAAATCTTCTAATGTGCCCATCTCGTTCAGGTTTTCACGGATATCATTGTCTTTGAACATAACATCTGAATGAACATTACATGGCGGAAACCCATTTCTAACTCTTATACGTGAACTTTCAGGTACATGAACCCCTTGAAGTGACACATCCTCGGTATTAATGCCAGACTTTCTCAACTTTGCAACCAGCACCCACATATTTGCCAGCTCATTTTCTAAATCAACTTCACGTTGTTTTACTTTGTCTAATGTTCTTCGTAAATCATCTTCTATCTGATCTCTTTCAGATAGTTCTTTTTCCAGAGCAGCTTCTCTTTGACATCTTGCACTAAGTTCCCCTTGTAGCTCCTCAACCAAAACTACATCCTCTGGCTTTTTATGGCCTCCGGCTCGAGCTCCATTTACGTTATTTCGCTTAAAATCATATGAAGTGGGCCTCTGACAACAGTTTGATTGGCACTGAACCTCTTTTGCAGCAGCCAGGTCACCAATCAGCTTTGCATTTTCATAAGAAAGCTTGGTTACTTCTTCAGCCAAGTTTCTAAGCTCAACTGCTGCAGCTGCAGCCAACTCTTTAGCATATGATGCTTCTTCTGAAAGTTTCATATTCTGAACTTCAAGCCCCTCCTTTTCCTCAGAAAGTTTCACCTTGTCTTGCTTTAAATCCTCTATTTCAGAAGCCTAAGAAAATAAATTAAAAGGGCACTGGTGACAACATAGCAATATAAAATATATCATCATTCCATCAAGTAAAACGAATAAGATCAAAAGGACAAAGGGTGAATATTGGGTGTCTTCGTTCTGAAGATGCCAGGAAGAACAAGAATACCTGTACATGGATTTGGGAATTCAAAAATGCATCTTTGTTGCACTCTTTGGAGTCCTCAAGGGAAAGGATTCTGTTTAAGCTCATCACACTGGTTGGTGTATTTTCATCAGCACAAGTTTCTTGACACAGACCAAACCTTTCTCCTTCTTCATTGTTCTTTTGCACTAGTTTTTTGGAACATGTCTCTAGTCTGGTAGCCTCGCTATCAGAAATTTGTTGTGAATTGAGCTGTTGTCTTAGCAGAAGAATCGTCTCTTGCATTTCTGCATTCTCTGAAATCTGCGAAAGTAACAATATGATTAAAAAAATTAAAGACACAAATGCAAGTATTTAAAAAGGGATTACAAATCTTTATATTTTACCTTCATTTGTAGTTGCTCCTGAAGTATCCTATTGTCTGCTGTCTTAATCTTGAATGATCATCCCAAGACAGAGTGATCAACTTAGTAGAATATTTTTAGCATTCATAATTGAAATATGTTATGAAAGATTAAAAATAACAAACCTCAAGTTCAAAAGTTGTCTCATTTAGCTGTGTAGTAAGCTTGGACAGAGCCTACATGGGAATGTAGCAAACTGATCAGAAAGCATATACAATGCATTAATAATTAAATAAAAATTGGAAAACCAGCAATGCAAGCATATTGTTAAGGAACCAAATAAATGACAGTCAACACAACCAATATAGACCTCTACTATAAAGGCCAGAAACTGATTGGTTATTATATAAAAATAGAAGGATCATATGAGATGCAGTTTTAACCAATAAATTAGGACATTAAAATAATAGTCAATTAAGCCCAGGTAGATTTTTCTGGGTGAAAGTAGAGTTTTTCTTTCTTTTCTAGATTAGGCCCTTGCATATTGATCTTGTTATATTTAATCCCCCAATCAAGGATTTGTTTCTTATGTTGTTAAATTAAGATAATTCAATCATGTCAAACGAAAATGACCGAAGGGCCTTATGATAAGAGCAGACATGTAGCCATAGGACATTCTCTGCTGAAATGGTATTAGAAAGTTCAACTATGTTAACAATCGCTAAGAGTAGAATGTAAAACAAGGAAGAACAACCTTTTCATATTTTCAATTTTGTAGAGCCCTGAAATATTGTTATCAGATTATCATCTGGCAATCCAAAACCTTTCATGTAGTAAAATCAGTTCATCCAGCTTTTCTTGAAACCCATCTCCATAAAGATGCACAGTTACCTGAGACATTTCGCTGTTATTTGACATTTGTGGAGTCATCTCAAGGGATCCAATCATACGTTGCTCTAGAACACGTATCTGAAGCTTCTTTTCACTAATTTCGCCCTTCAACTTTCGCATTTGTTCCTATTTTAACCAAAATAACCATAAAAAACTCAGACAGGAATACCAATCAGATTTAGACAATTGTCCTTTTAGATTTAAAGAGATGTCTCACCCTCAGCTGTGAATCTTCAGGGTTTCTAGCTGCTTGCTCCGACAGTCTTTTTAGAGAACTTGTACACAATGCCACCTCCCCAGCTAACATTTTCACTTGCTCGCGAAGAAGATCCATTTGATCTGTAATAGTGGACCCCGTCTGCAGAAGAGTAGTTATAGTAATCCCTTAACATTATATCTTCATGCAACACTTTGAATACTTCATACAAATACACTTCAAGCAGCTGCATGCATACACACACGCACACACACAAGTCCTTTTCTCTATTATATATAAACCCATATTCACTTGAATCAGATGTTTATATACTTATAGCAAGGACCACTCACCCGAGGCAAACAGTGACCTCCAAAAGCCGCACCGAACAAATCACCTGCTTGTGTTCTTTCCGGAAATGGGTCAATAATGGTATAATCATCTCCCCTTCTACTGACAGACTTTCTTCCTCCATCCTTCAAATCACTGAATTTGACTCTATTTTGAGAAGATTTTGAAGAAGGTGCTGGTGACCCACTTGTAGAGCTCTCACTATCGGCACTGGGTGATAATCCAATAACATTCTCAGGTTTCTGTAGAGAAAGCATTTGAGCTTTGTCTAGGTGAGTTCAATCAGTAGAATATCAATGAAAGCTAAGAATGAAATATTAATCTGCTCTTGCATAAATTAAATGAAAATACACGTTTTAGTAGTGTATGTTATTAAAGATAGATAGTTATATACAGATACGATGGCCCAACAGAGCAGACAAAATAAATTGTAGCTTAAAAAGGAGAGGAATGTCATCTCATCAACTAATTCCTATGTTTTGTCCTTCCCAAACAAACAACATAAATATATGGTGTCCACATTCAACTCATATGTCAAAGGAAAAAACCAGAACTTACTTTCAGTTTAAACCATCCAAGCATTCCCCGTCTTTTGTTTCTTTTGTAATCTTTGACCAACTCATCTAGATTAGTGATCTCATCCCTTCCTTCCACTGAAAGCTCAGAAGCATAACTTCCAGCATCATCATCAACCAGGTATTCCCGCTTCTTATCAGGCAGATATGCAAGCTGCAGAAAAAAATGGGTCAATGGTATCTAACAAACAAGGAACATATTGCCAATAGATGTCACTCAAAATACAATTCAGCAAATCTGCAATCCATCATAACCGCTGAAAATCCCACACCTCATCTTCCCCAAAAGAATGCCTCCGTCTATGAGTAGGTCGTTCAGATATGCTTGGTGGGATAGTATTTTTCGTGGACACTAAGATTAGTTTAGTCAGTCGTTGTATTCTTCCCATTAAAGCTGCCTTGGCTTCTTCTTCCTCTTCCAATCTTGATTGCAATTTCACCTGACCAGCTTCCAGCTTTTACATGACAAAACAATACTTATTAGATGCAAACAACAAACAACTGAATCCAGAGTGAAAATTAGCTGTTCTAAATAGATGGCATTAGGGACTTCAAACATTCTGTAGCTTGCACCTCAAGGAATTGTAACATTGCACTCCAATCTAGATTATCATATTGTTCGTCAGGCAAAATATATATATATATATATATCATATGGTTCTAGCCTCTTGTTATATAGATAGTTCTTCCCTCCTGAGGTCCTTAAATTTTCGGCAGACTGACTAAATATGGGAGAATGAAATGAAGAAAGCCTAAGATGAACCATAATGCATCCCAGCCGTCCATCTCTAATCTAACAATTAGAAGACAGAACATGACTTCCTTCAAAGATCTAACTAAAGGACCTTAGGATAGGATTTTTATTGATTTCTACCCAAAGCCTTCAGTAACAAATACAGACAAAAGTATGCTAATATTTGTTAGCTCTCCCAATGTAGTAGCACCAACCTGAAGCTTCAAATTAACCAGGTCTTCCTGAGTAGATATAGCTGTATTTGGATGCTCCATCATGCCACGTTTTAATTGCTGAAGTTCTTGCTTTAAACTGGAAATCTCCCTCTGATATTTCTTGATAATAGACTTTTCATCCATAATCTAAAAGGAAACAAAAATGTGATTGGAAACAGTTACATGTATTCATAATTTCTATTAGCTCCACTTCGCCCAAAAAAAAAAAAAAAAGAATTTAGAAAACAAATCTGCAATTCACCCATTTCTATTAGCTCCACTTCGCCCAAAAAAAAAAAAAAAAAAATTTAAAAAAAAAATCTGCAATTCTCTTTATTTTGGGAAGCCTTGATTTCCACGCGCTTACTCCGATGTGCAAACTTCAGTGTGTTGTGTGTTTCCTCACTATTGCTAGATGCAGGGGTCACAGTGCAAATGAGCTAAAACCACCATAACAAGAACATCCTCCAGAATCATTAACCACATTACTATTAACAAAAAAGATACCTTACATGACAACTAATTGGATAGTTCCAAAGAGAAATCTGATAACATGAACACTGGATGATCCAGAAGTGTTGCATTGAACTTACAGATATACGCCCATGACCACTGAGGGATGACTGCAACAAACGAGTGAGTTTTGAATCTCGATATGGAATATGAGTTGCCTTTCCATCTGTCAATTTAGAAATCACCTGCAACAAGAGCCAATTATTATATTAAAAAGGTTACTGAGAAATGCACTGAAAACATCTATTGCCCAGTGCAACATATAGGCAAATGAAAAATCTCGAGCCCTACACCTCATGTTAATTTATCTGGAGTCGACCAGTTCTCCAACATCATGCCATGATAAGTAATCAAAGAACCATGACAAAGTTAACTATCCATATTTAGAGAGTATATACACAATTATGCACCGATAGATGATAAAAACGAGAACTGTGCGAAACAAAACATACTATATTATTATGATAATTTAAAATATTAGGAACTTTTTAGTAAATTTCATTGCAACATAAACGAATTTTGGAAAAAATTAATGCATGAAATAACGAAGGGCAAAATTATGCTAATAGGTGGAATTATGGGACTTGTTTTTATTTCAGGTATTACAACGCAAATCAACAAAGACTAAAATAAGCATTATCATACAGTGCCAAGCGTGAGTAAGCTTTTATTGATGTATGAACCCTCCTTTCTTCGCAATCCAGTTGTTTCAGTTTTAGAACTTTCAGATCCTGCAAGATCAATTAAGTGCTGCCAAGGAAATTTGAATTATATAGGGTTCAGCATCAAATTGTAATGAAAATAATATCTGACCAGATTGCAGGGCCAGATCAACTAAACTATGGTGGGCATTTTCAAAGATGAGAAAGGCATTACCAACTGGGACAAGGTGACATCTTCTTCATCATGATTCTCACCTCGTGGACTGCTTTCAATAGTCTGATGAATTGTTACAGGTTAGAAAAGTTGAACCAAAAGTAATGCGATTAATACAGATTCAGTAGCTACTTCATGAAAGCCTTATGACACTGCCATCGCTTTACAAAGAAAGTGCTAAGCATATGAACAAATTACTACAACTTTTATAAATTAGTCTACAATTGGTTATTTAACTTGTTTTTAAATGGTTGATTACATTTAAATTAAAATTCCTTTCAACAAT